GCTAAAGCAATGTGATTATTAATAGAAGAGCAGCTTCCAGCACATTGTATGGGCAGGAGGAGGATGAATGGCTACACCTGTGATTCCTTTCATTTACGGTAAGCAAACGGACCCATTTGTGATGCTCACCATCTTCAATCCTTGGGCACATCCCTTCCAGAAGAACAGGGAGGCCTTAAAGACAGGGGCTGTCTCTCAGTGCCAGCAACTGCTGCTGTTCTCATTCACCACCTGCCACCTCCACCAGCTGGACATCATTTTCATTCCAGCCAGGGGTCAGTGTAGCCAGACAAGCAGGGAAGCCACCCTCTCAGAAGGAGCTGACAGCCCGCCTTTATCCTTGGTGGGTCACACCAACACCTGACAGGCCTGAGAAAGTCCTTATACTTTGTCAGCACTTGCATAGCTTGTCATGCCAGTGAAGTTTTACTGATCTGAACGGACTGACTCCAGGGACTTCACCCACATGACATTCTCATAAGCAAACTAGGGAAATGTGGTCTAGATGAAACTATCATAAGATGGGTACATAATTGGTTGAAAGAGCGTACTCAAAGAGTAGTTATCAATGGCTCATTGTCAGACTAGGAAGATGTATCTAATGGGGCGCTGCAGGGGTCAGTCTGGGGTCAGGTACTATTCAACATTTTCATTAATGGATTCGATAATGGAGTAGAGAGTATGCGAATAACATTTGCTGATGACACCAAGCTGGGAGGGATGCAAGCACTTTGGAGGACAGGATTAGAATTCAAAATGTCCTAGACCAACGGTACAACTAGTCTAAAATTAATAAGATTACATTAAATAAAGACAAGTGCAAAGTATTTCACTTAGGAAACAAAATCAAATGCACAACTGCAAAATGGAGAATAACTGGCTAGGTGGTAGTACTGTTGAAAAGGATCTGGGGGTTAGAGTGAATCACAAATTGAATATGAGTCAACATGATGCAGTTGCAAAAAAGGCTAATATCACTCTGGGATGCCTGAAGAAGAAGATCATATGTAAGACATGGGAGGTAATTATCCAACTCTACTAGGTCCTGATGAGGCCTCAGCTGGAACACTGTGTCCAGTTCTGGGCACCATACTTTAAGAAAGATGTGGACAGAGACAGATATGGCAAGAGTCCAGAGGAGAGCAACACAAATGATAAAAGGTTTAGACAACCTGACCTATGAGGGAAGGTTAAAAAAACTGGGCACATTTAGTCTTCAGAAAAGACGACTGAGGAGGGGCCTGATATGTTAAGAGTTGTTATAAACAGGATTGTGATCACTTGTTCCCCATGTCCACTGAAGCTAAGGCAAGAAGTAATCAGCTTAATTGGCAGTAAGAGAAATTTAGCTTAAATATTAGGGGAAACTTTCTAACTATAAGGATAGTTAAGTCCTGGAATGGGTTTCCAAGGGAGGTTGTGGAATCCCCATCACTGGAGGTTTTTAAGAGCAGGTTAGACAACATCTATGAGAGATGGTCTAGGTTTTCTTCGCCCTGCCTCAGCACAGGGGGCTGGACTTGATGACCTCTGGAGGCTCCTTCCAGGGTGCCCCTCCCCCAGGCCCCAAGTCAGTGAGCCTGCGGCCCAGACCTCCCGCAGCCGAACTGGGCCCAGGCACGGCACGGCCAGAGCAGTCCTCGCACCCACCCGCAGCAGGTTGAGACCCAGGCACGGCCGGGGTGGTGTGGTGCAGCCTCACTCCGGAGTGGTCCTGCTGGGGGCCGGGTGAAGGGTGCCAATCCTGCAGCCCCAGAGCTCCCACGGTGGGGGCAAGGCACCTCTTCCCCCCAGCCCAGGGAGAGCTGGGAGGCGTCCTCTCTCCCTGCCATAGCCCCAGAGCACCCTCCTGCACCCCAAACCCCTCATCCCAGGCCCCACCCCAGAGCCAGCACCCACAGCCGGAGCCCTCACCCCCGGCACCCAACCCTCTGCCCCAGCTCTGAGCCCCCTCCCACACTCCGAACCCCTCGGCCCCACACCCACCACATGAATTTTGTTATGTGCACCAATGTGAAGGTGATGTATCACACAGCACCTCCATATTGGTGCACATAACAAAATTCTTTCCGCATACGGGTGGGAAAAATTAGAGGGAACACTGGGCCCATGTAGTTGGGCTCCTTACTTCAGCCATCTCACCAAATCACTATTGTTGGCTTCAGATATTTGCCAGCTGGCCTACCATTAAGATTCTCCCAGCTCATGTCAGAACGAAGGGTCACAAAGTCAAGCTCTCACTCAGAACTAGCCAACCACAGCCCCACTCAGCTCTCCTGCTCCTGAGGTGTGCAATGTGACATTTGCCTGTACAGCCCCTCAAGAAGGAGTTTACAACAGAAGGGAATGAACTTCTTTACACATATATAGGGGCCTTTGTAAAGGGAAATCATGTTTCTCCAGCCTATTAGAATTCTTTGAGGGTGTAAACAAATATGTTGACAAGGGTGATCCAGTTGATATAGTGTACTTGGACTTCCAGAAAGCCATTGATAAAGGTCCCACACCAAAGGCTCTTAAGCAAAGTAAGCAGTCATAGAAGAAGAGGGAAGGTTCTCTCATGGGTCAGTAACTGTTTAAAAGACGGGAAAACAAAGGGTAGGAATAAATGGTTAGTTTTCACAGTGGAGAGAGGTAAATAGCAGCTTCCCCAAAGGATCTGTACTGGGGCCAGTGCTGTTCAATGTATTCATACAGGATCTGGAAAAGGGCATAAAGAGTGAGGTGGCAAAGTTGGTGGACAATACAAAATTACTCAAGATAGTTAAGCCCAAAGCAGAATTCAAAGAGTTACAAAGAGCTCTGACAAAATCGGGTGACTGGGCAACAAATGGCAGATGAAATTCAGAGTTGATAAGTGCAAAGTAATGCACACTGGAAAATGCAATCCCAACTATACATACAAAATGATGGGGTCTAAATTAGCTGTTACCACTTAAGAAAGAGATCTTGGGGTCATTGTGGATAGTTCTCTGAAAACATTGGCTCAATTTTCAGCGACAGTCAAAAAACACGAACAGAATGTTAGGAACCATTAGGAAAGGTTTCAGAGTAGCAGCCGTGTTAGTCTGTATCCACAAAAAGAAAAGGAGGACTTGTGGCACCTTAGAGACTAACAAATTTATTTGAGCATAAGCTTTCGTGAGCTACAGCTCACTTCATTGGATGCAAAGGGTGAGATAATAAGACAGAAAATATCATAATGCCACTATATAAATCCTTGGTACACCCGCACTTTGAATAATGGGTGCAGTTCTCAAAAAAGATATATTAGAATTTGAAAAAGTACAGAAAAGGACAACAAAAATGATTAGGTGTATGGAATAGCTTCCATATGAGGAGAGATTAAACCCACTGAGACTGTTCATCTTGGAAAAGAGACAACTAAGGTGGAATATGGTAGAGGTTTATAAATTATGACTGGGGTGGAGAAAGTGAATAGGGAAGTGTTATTTCCCCTTCACATGACACAAGAACAGGGGCCAGACAATGAAATTAATAGACAGCTGGTTGAAAACAAATGGAAGGAAGTACTTCTTCACACAATGCACAATGCACACTGTGGAACTCAGTGCCAGGAGATGTTGTGAAGGCTAAAGTATAACTCCCGCTCTGCCCAATGCGAGGGCACTATTTACAAACCAGCAGTTGCCAGACGCACAGTGGCCTTCCCAGCCCTGTGCTGCCAGTGTGTCCCTTCCCCGAGGGGGTAGGCCCATGCCATACCATGCCACCCCCCCCCCCCGCCCAACATTCGCTGACTCCCTATGGCTGGAGGCCCCCTGGATCCACTATGCCCAGCACCCCCCCAGACCCACCCACAAATGCACAGCACCCTGCACAACACCACCCCGGCCCACAGCTCCACCACAACTGCCCAGCATCCCCCACAGAACCCCCAATTCCTAGTGCCCCAACACACACAGATCCTCCCCACCCCTTCACAGCCCATCACCCCCCCAGAGTCCCCACAGACCCACTCCCACAAGCCCTGCCTCCCGGCTGCATTTCACTGGCCCTGCTGGGAGGCAACTGTGTTTGCCAGGCTGAGCCAGCAGCGCAGCCAGGGCTGGTCCCAGGGCTGTGAATCGCTCCGGCCCCCCCGGGAGTGGCGTGATCAGCCAGGCCAGAACCTGCCCCGGCTGGGGTCACTCAAGATGCAGTTGCCTGGAGGGGCCCAGCTAAGCCCCCCACACTGTCTCCCCCCTCACACACACACTTGGCTGAGACTGGCCTGGCTTCTGCACCAGTCCCAGGTGGCTCAGCTCCAGGGAGACAGGTGGGGCCTCTCAGGTGGCGGGAAGCAGAGACTGCCTGGAGCTGGAGGTGCACTGGGGTCCGGCCAGGGGGCTGAGAGGAGCAAGGGGTGGGCGGGGGGATCCAGTGGGGTCTCGGGGTGCAGTCCAAGTGGAGCAAGCCGGGGCCCCTTCCGAGCATGGGCTCGGCTCCATGGAGCCACTGGAACCATTGTAAACCCGGCACTGCATGTGGTGGATGTGGGAGAGGAGGATACAGAACCCCTGGCATGGAGAAGAGTGAGAGGGGATTGCAGGGTGGTCCCTGAAATAGAGGGACTTGGAAGGGTGGTACACCTGGAACTTGGGGGGTGGGGGGGGAATGGAGGAATGCAAGGAGCTCCTGGTGCGTGCAATGAGTTTGGCCTATGGAAGCCACAAAGTGTGAGCCCTTCTAGTTCAGTAATGTTACCTGCTCCTGACAGCAACCCCATGTCTGCATTTCCCTGTTAATGCACTGCTCTGCTAGGCTTTGGTCTGACAACCAACTCTTCTTTAAACTTCTCTAAGAAGCTCGATAAGCAAGGTGCCCCTGCACTACACCTTCTGCACAGCTTTCTGACCAGGATAATTGCATCCAGAAACCTGAAAAGCTTAAGTGTGATTTGCTTCCAGGCCTTTTCAAAAGTCAGACCCTGGCACTGGCTTTACAATATTTACACACAATATTCTGCTCCTCTCACTGAGTAATCTCATTTGTTTCAGTGCAATTACTCGAAGAATAAGGTGCAACTCAAAGTGAGAAATGCTAAGATACTATGGTGATGGACAGCAGTATAACACCCAAAGGTAAGATAGCAAAGGGGGCTGAGTCTGGCCTTAGTTTTATGCAAATGATGTGCTCTAGTGTGTGTGGGGGGGTGGGAATTGGGTTTACTTTTAACTCCTTTGCCTTCTGACTTTCAACTTCCAGTAAGGCCCATCTACACCAGAAAAGGTTTGCTACTCTTGCTATACTTGCAAACTATCCTAGTGTAATCTCAGTTTATACCAGAAAAAAACAAGTTATTTTACCAGTATGGTTTACACTGGTTCCCTGAGTGAAATAAGCTACACCAACAAAAGTACTTTTATGCCAATCTAGTGGTGTCTACCCTAGAGCTTTGGCTGGTATAAAAATGGTGCAAAAAGTTTGCCTAAGTGACCCTGTTTTATCGGCAAAGGTTTCTAGTGCAAACCTGTCCTAAAGCACAGAAGGCCATGAGAGTGGGAAATGAGAGTTTTATAGAAAATAGGAGGTGATGGAGCTGACTGGATAACTGATTGGATGCTAATAACTTTACAGCAAACAGACTTTCAGCCTGAACTTCAATAGTGTAGCTACAAGATTGTTCATAAATTGGCTTATTTATCCTCTGATTCACCTAATTAGTGTGTTTCCTGTCTCGCTCCCTTTTTAAAAAAAATTTTCTTTATTGAAATGAGTATCAAACAATTCTGCCATGTGTCAGGTCTTCAATTTTACAAACACGGGGCCTGATCCTGAAAGCACGTAGGCACATGAGTAACTGAGAGACTAGGGGCCCAATGCAATGCCCAGTGAAATCACTGGGAGCCTGTTGAGTACAATGGGCATTGAATCGGGTCCTAAGTGATTTGTCCATGGTCCACAGCCAGTCACTGGCAGAGCTAGGAATACTATCAATCAGGTCTCGGGGCTCCCAGTTGAACACCACATTCACTAGACTACACTGTCTACTGTGTTCAGTTCTGGGTACCCCATCTCAAAAGCAATACAGCAGAAAAAGAAGGGTCCAGATAGGAGTGAAAGAAATCATTAAAGGCCCTGCAGAGACATTCACATGCGGGGAGACTGAAGAATCATAGAATCATAGAATCATAGAATATAAGGGTTGGAAGGGACCCCAGAAGGTCATCTAGTCCAACCCCCCTGCTCAAAGCAGGACCAATTCCCAGTTAAATCATCCCAGCCAGGGCTTTGTCAAGCCTGACCTTAAAAACCTCTAAGGAAGGAGATTCTACCACCTCCCTAGGTAACGCATTCCAGTGTTTCACCACCCTCTTAGTGAAAAAGTTTTTCCTAATATCCAATCTAAACCTCCCCCACTGCAGCTTGAGACCATTACTCCTCGTTCTGTCATCTGCTACCATTGAGAACAGTCTAGAGCCATCCTCTTTGGAACCCCCTTTCAGGTAGTTGAAAGCAGCTATCAAATCCCCCCTCATTCTTCTCTTCTGCAGGCTAAACAATCCAAGCTCCCTCAGCCTCTCCTCATAAGTCATGTGTTCCAGACCCCTAATCATTTTTGTTGCCCTTCGCTGGACTCTCTCCAATTTATCCACATCCTTCTTGAAGTGTGGGGCCCAAAACTGGACACAGTACTCCAGATGAGGCCTCACCAATGTCGAATAGAGGGGAACGATCACGTCCCTCGATCTGCTCGCTATGCCCCTACTTATACATCCCAAAATGCCATTGGCCTTCTTGGCAACAAGGGTACACTGCTGACTCATATCCAGCTTCTCGTCCACTGTCACCCCTAGGTCCTTTTCCGCAGAACTGCTGCCTAGCCATTCGGTCCCTAGTCTGTAGCTAGGCTAAGAGACTAGGCTGAGCCAACGCCCTGGATCTGAACACCAGTGTGTCGTGCTGGCCCTTGTGTTAACACAAAACACTTGGACTCAAATATCTTCAGACTCTGAGTTTTCAAAATCCAGATCCAAATTTTCCTGTTTGGGTCCATTTTTTATAACAAGGCCCGGCAATTTCCCTGGAATTGGGGAGGTGTGTCAGCAGGAGATATCTGCAGCACGCAAGGCCCCTTTACAATGCAATACCTTACTCCAAAGAACGTCTCAATGGCCAAGGGAGGGATTGTTTGCGTTGAATATCCTTGGGCTGATTATGGACTAGCACCACCCTCCCTGCTTCCCTTTGAGACCACCAGCTTTACTTTTCTCAGGGGAATAGCTATGAAATGAACACATTGCTTTGCCCATCTCTTCTTCCCCTGCCCAGGATGCAGATTCTCTTATTCCCCAAAGGGAGCCAGGAGTCAGCATGGAGTCCATCAGTGGCGTCAGCAGCTGCAGGAGGGAGGTGTGTGTGTGTCTATGGGAGACAGAGAGCGAGCCTGCCACTGCTGTGCAACACGAGAAATGGAACAAGGCACATCCTGAAAGTTTGCGTGTGTGCATACAGGTTCCACAGCTGCGGGCAGCAGCATGCAGCTGGCGACTCCCCTGGGACCCATGAAGAAGCACTTGTGCTAAAGCAATAAAAGCACAGATGCTGGAGGGCTGACATTTCTCCTCCCTAGCTTTGTTGTGTAGAGATTGAAACCAGATTTCTTTTCTGTGGTGAATTATGTTAATTTGTGTGCCACCAGAACCTGCTCCTCTTCAACCCATCTCTAGGCCCAGCTGCATCACAAATTCAAGGAACCACCTGCAAAGTAGTTTAGAGACTCAGACCTGCTCTTTGAGGTGAATTAACACCAGGGAGGCCCCCTTGGCCGAGTAAAATGGTCAAGGTGGCCTAAGAGGGCCACCCTCAAAGAGGAAAAACATGCTCTGTAAGAAAAGAGGTACCTCTGACAAGCAACATTGTTCTCTAAAGATCCTATACAACATCTGGTCCCCCCCATCTGAACACACAATTGTTCCCTACACAAGTAATATCTGAGCCCAAACATTTCCCAGGTCTAAAAGCCAAGTTGGAAATAAGATCATGAGATATACAAAACCATGAGCTCTATAAAAATCAGCCACATTCAAAATGGGCTAGCGCTTCTAATGGTCTAGTGGAAACAACATAATTACAGCTGGCATGATGCATCTTCATGGTGCTCCGCACATAGGAGCTCTGAGCTGGAGAGGAGAAGTAAGCTGATCCCTAACTGTGTCATGTTTAACTTGGCTGTTCGAACTGCTGCCCCTTTGCATTTCATAAAGAAGCTCAGCAGTTTGCCCTAAGCACTATTGGATCATTCAGGAAGACACGCAACTGTCAGATTCCTAAATCAGACTTCCAGATTTACACTGATGTGACTAAGATAAGAATCTAACCCATGGTCTTCTGCTTCATGGATGGCACCACACACCAACTTGTCCTCGTAAGGATCCTGGCCTGAAGTGCTGCTCTCAAGAGCCACCAGCCTCACTTCCACATCCTGAATGCTGCTGGCAAACATTTCAACTTGAACCACCATGAACCTCTGGCCACCCCCGTCCCACGTCACTTGTCTGGCAAGCAGATGGAGCAGATATGTGCATGAACAAAGTTGAAATATTTCATCCAGTGGCAGGCCATGGTCCATACATAGTAAATGCTTTACACCTATGTATAAAGGACAGTATAAAAAACCGAGTGTGCACGGTTACTGAGTGCTGGGAATTCAAAGAACATACCTCAGACCCCACTGTCTTGTGGCTTCCTACTGAGAGCAAAAGCCAGTGCCACAATTCAAACTGTCCCCCAAATTATGCCCCTTCACCCATTTAGCAGAAACCAGATCACTCTTATGTGTATGCCACAAGCACACTCAAACAGGCTAATAATACTCTGGGTTCAGCTCTCATTCTGAATAAAGCAGGTAGCTGCCTTTTATTGTCTGAAAATGCACCTTCCATTTTTACAGTAAGGCTTGGCCTTACATCTCAGGCATCTGGCGACACGCAAGCTGGTTCAGGCTGACTCCCTCTCAGAAAGAAGGCTCACCCTTGGCTTGACTGGAACCTGAAAACACTAGCATTCCTCAAAGCTGTGCATTCATGCAGCTTCTCGCTGCCAGCGATCCCCAGCCTTGACTGACTTGGGACCATTTGCAACACAGGTATAGCTTAAAGCAGTGAGCTGTACCGTAGGCCGAGGACCAATCCAGCTTCAGGACTGGGGAAACAAAGTGGTTCCCCTTCTCAGCTGCACCCATCAGATAATGGGCACATCTGAGGACCGTGCCTTGAATTTCCTATCCTGCCATCAATGCTAATGGTTTTTCCTGCTCTTTCCCCTTGCAGGTCATGGGGCATTCTCCCATTCTGCTCCTGTAGGGGTCTGATACTTATAGGATCATGGTGTCACTGGTCATCTCAAAAGTTGGCAGTTTCAGTCTGCTTTACATGACCTTTCAGTTCTCCTTTCTCATCTGGCAGAACATTTTTTGTTTTTTGGCAATGACGGACATTTTGGACAGATCTTGCTCAATCTAATTGCTGAGAAATGGTAATGCTCAGTGTGACTTTACCAGTGTCAGTACACACTTTTATACATGTGTAGTGGGGTGGACACCCGCTCGGGCCCAGAGGGGTTTAAGATAGCCCTGGGAGAGGGCTGGGGCAGGGGAAGAGCTGGGCTGATTGGCAGAGCAGCTGCAGCTGGGGGCCTGACCCAGCGGGCCTTATAAAAGCCAGGGAAGCCAGGAGCAGAAAAGCACTCTCTCTAGCTTCTGAGAGGGAGGGACCTGGCTGCAGGGACCCAAGCAGAATACCTAGATTGGGGAAGGGGCTGGGGAGCTCCAGCCAGGAAAGCCCTAGGCTGCGGCCCAGTATTAGGTCCAACAGGCACTGGCATTGCAGGGACAGCCCAAGGTTAGATAGAGGCAGCAGGTCCAAACCCAGCCTTGCCTGTGATGAGTGGCTTGTACTGTAGTCTGCCCCAAGGTGCAGGGGCTAGCTGGTGACTGGCAGGAGCCTATGACTGAGGCGAGGTAGGGATAGTGGGTGGGGGGGTTCCCCTGGAAGGGGGAGACCCAGAACTGTGGGGTACTGCCAGGGGGCAGCACCCAGTGAAAGGGGCACTGGGGTCCTGGGAGGGACACGGTAGCTGG